TTATAATCTTAATTTTATAATCTCAATTATAATTTAAAAAAAATATTTGAAAAAATACCATTGCTAAAAAATAATAGACCACCACACATTTTACATTAGGTAGAGTATAACGCCGAGTTCTATTATGGCTGTTCTCCAGGGACTCAAGGTGAGTAAAACTACAGGTGCCTAATTATTGTAAATGGGAACTTAACACGATGTGTTCATTATCAAACCCTTCTAGAAATTGTTACATAATGATTGAGAATATATTTGCCACAGAAAAGAAAAGTGTGGCTGGATTCACACATCATGCTAACTTCTGATTTACATAACCATGGGTTATGGAACAAGCCGCAGTTGTCTGACTTAATATAACACAATCTAAGAAATGATCTTTTGGCTTAACACAGTGAGTAAAACATACATCTGCCAGCCCACAAGAGAATAGCCTATGTCAGCAGAACAGATTCTATCCCTATTGACCCAGCTTCCATCAAGCTCTTTGTGTACATTATTCACTTAAAAGATTGTTTCTGATTTCAGATAACCTCTTGGTACAAGAAGAACATAAAAGATTACATTAATAAGCAAAACTTGGGGTCATCTTTAAAGGAAAATGAAGCATTGCTTCAGGAACACAAGGAAATGGAATATAAGGTTAAAGTAAGACTCTTTATCTGAAGTGGTCACATTCTAGTTTTCCAATCCCTTTTGGAGTATTCTATTGACGTTTTTGTTTTATTTTTTTTTGAAGATTGTAGTTTAACTTAATTGATTTTGATTTTTTAAAAATATTTATCTAAGATTACATAATCTGATTACCATTATCTTTTTAAAAAATTATTGTTGTTTTCCTATTTCAAGATGAAGCTTTTCTTATCACTTGTAAGGAAGCATCCTTCTCAGCTCAGTCTGAAATTGTTTTGTTCTTTCTAGCAAAATGTGTAGCATGCTTGAAGGTAAAGTAAATGTCAACAATAAAAATAGCATTCCATAAAAATATATATTTAGAAACCAGTGAAATCGGTTCATAAAAAACAGTTGGGGATTTCAGGCAATCCAAAGACTGAAAGGTCACCTCACCCACAACACACATATACATGCATATCCTCCAACTTAAAGGAATATAAGCATTTTTCTTCCCTCACCACCACCATTTTATCTGTATAAGTTAACGAATAGCAAATAGTGTAAATCATCCAATAAATTCCATGGCTAAATAGAAACTCTACTAGTTTAATATTGCAACCCAGGGCTGTCAAACTCATGGCCCATGGGCCGGATGCGTCATGCAGTGGCCACGCCCACGCCCGGTTTAGCGAAGGAGAAAAAAGTCACGATACATCATGTGACGATGCCGTGAAGACAGGAGTTTGACACCTCTGCTGTAACCTGTGCATAAGGACTCATAAAATGCCTGCAATGTTAATGTATATATTTTTATGTAGGCGAATTGATGAAAAATCAAAGAGAACAATAATTCATCCCTTAGTGGCCCAAATACAGATACTGTGCCTGTCTCTCACAAACAGCTGAGAGATCATGGCTCTGGTGTGAAAAAGTGCACAGCTTGAATCTGTTGCCTATTGCATTCCCAACCTGGTTCTTTCTTCTCTCCTACATTTGCTGTTGCTTAGGGCGAAACCTGTAAATTGGAAATAGATGATGCAGAGGGTCATCTGTACCACCTATGCTAACCTGTCTTCCAGCTGGTGCTGAAGTTGGCTATGGAAACAAAAGCACTGAAAGATGCAATTTCACGATCTTCCTTCTTTTTCAGCAATCACCCTTTTATTTATTTGTTTAAAGATTTACGCCAATATTCCATCTTGTGCTTGTTGCAGCTCTTTTTCTAATCTAGTTATGAACCAGCTTTGGAGGTATAATTTTTGAGGTTACTGTTGATAAAATTGGTTCTTTCGTTTTAACTTATTTTACAAAATGAATTGCACATGTATTTCTCAGTTTGCTCCATCATTAACAGAATGACATGCATATTTCATGGCAGAATGCATGTTATTAAATTTCACTGGGGGAAAAAATCAGCTAAAAAGTACTCTGCCTAGTACTTCTAGTAAAATCTTCTATAGAAGAGCTAGCAAGTTGCCTTCCATTAAAAGGAGAAAGTTAATATTTCCAATTTAATTTCTACTTAACAACTCCTTTTTGCAACTAGATTTTCAAAGGAACATTTGTTTTTGTTGTTAACAAGTGCATGATTTTTGAAAGCCCAACAACTTCTTAAGAACAAATGGTCCAAATGTTTTTATTTTTTTAGTAAAGCATCATTTCTTCTCTATTTTCGCCTTACCTTTTCTTACCTTTTTAAAAAAAAACTGCAAGTTCAATCTTGGATCTATCAAGAGTTGAGAATGGAACACCGAAAGCAGTAATTTAAAAGGTTACTTTCTCTGAAGACATAATGTGAAATAGCGTGAACTGTTCTGTGGAGAATCACGAAAGGTTATATGTAAGGTTAAATGTTTTTGGAATTATTCAAAGAAATTGAAAAGACAGCAACAGAAGATTTTTATTTGGTTTTGGTGAAAACATGTAACTTCATTTTCTTGCTACAAATACCTCTTAGCTTTCAAAACATAGCATTTATGGCCACTTTAGACCAAACCAAATGACGATAAATTCTTTGTTATAAGTAAGATATATTCCACAACTCCTCTTACAGTTCAGAACTTTTTCTCAGCAGTTGGCCAGGAAAAAGTATCTTTGGGACTAAGAAAGAATTTATCTGAAGGACAAGTCACATATTACATGATCCCTGTATTTAAGAACAGAGTACTGATTCCATCAATGGCCCTCTAAAACAGGCAATATCTTCAGAAGCTGATGTATGGGTTGGCCGACTTACAATTAGTCTTACTCCAAAGGAGACAATATGTATGGCCACAGGGATGGGTAGGTTTCCTTCAAAATGATACCAACTTTTCATTGGGGAGAGCAATTGAGGTGGACATAGTATACATAAATATCTAGGACAAGGGTGTTAAACTCATGGTCTGCAGCAGAGGTGGGTTCCTACCAGTTCGCACCAGTTCGGTAGAACCGGTTCGTCAAATCTACCGAACCGGTTAGAAGAGGTTCCACCAGTGGACCCGGAAAGCAGGCCANAGTCAGCATATTTCCTCCAACAATTTGGATCCTCATTTTACCCATCTCAGAAGGATGGAAGGCTGAGTCAACCTTGAACCTGGTGAGATTTGAACTGCCAAATTGCAGGCAGCCGCCAGTCAACAGAAGTAGCCTGCAATACTGCACTCTAACCACTGCACCACTGTGGTTCATAATCAAAGAGTAATAATGACGTTGCTTGTTCTATGGAGTCAACAATATCTGTGCTGAGTTTGTCCAAGGAGGAGATGGTAGGAAATAGTGGCTGATTATCATTTTAAGGTTGACTTTGCATTTAAGCAGTACAATTCTCGATAAAGCACTCCATGTCTGAATCGATATTTGTTGCTATTAAAATCTGTCATGCAGGATCTGTTTTCTAGAACATCTTGGATTATCTCATGAACTAAGTAATTTGGCACTTTAGATTCGGTTATAACAGTCTAAGAGGACTATTGTATGTATAGAAAATTCAGAAACAACATGTTTAAATGGTTGATTGAAGCCATTTCTGGATTGTGTAATACTGTATATCAAAATCTTTTGAGCAAAGCAACATGGAGTTCTTTTAACAAGAGTGCCTCAGATTCTAGCGTAAATAAATCAACGGCCCAATAAACATACTTTTCCAGCAAAGAATTTGATCGTAAACAAATAATGAAAAGGCAAAAATAATGAGGCACATTTTTTCCAAAAATGTTTTGAATAACTTAATTATAAGTTTACAATACCCAAAGGAGATGTTGTTGTAAGGTGGCAAAATGCTGTTTTTATTTATTGTGTCCATGCAATTTATCTACCTTAATTCTCATGTACTCTAGGCAGTTTTATGTGGCTGAAGTATGTGGACAACTAGATGGTGAGGTGTTAACCATTTAAATGAATGTCTCCGCAGATGAACATTAAAATCATTTACAGCAGGGGTTCCCCAATCCCTGGGCCACGACCCACTACCAGGGGTCATTCACTTGCCTGCTGCGCATGCAAAAACCTTCCCTTCTCTCCCCCCTCCTGCTGGTCCACAAAGCTGGAAAGGTTGAGGAACTCTGGCTTACAGACATCACAAACTCCATTACATAAGAATCTTAGAGATAACTCTCCCACATTTGGTCTTCTTCCATACTTCTCTCTTAAGTCCTTCCTCTTCCTNGACAGAGAGACAAAAGGAAGGAGAGAGAGAGAGAGAGAGAGAGAGAGAGAGAATACATGGCTAGCAAGCCACTCTTACCAGGTCACATGGCTGGCAAGCCACTCCCACAAAGGAGGCCACACCCACAGAGTAGCTTCGAAAATTTTTTGAAACCCACCACTGGTCTGCAGGCCGGATGCCTCACACACTGGCCATGCCCACCCGATTTAGCAAAGGGGAAAAAAGTCATGCTATGTCACGCGGCCACATGATTCCACGAGTTTGACATCACTAATCTAGGGGAAAAGGTTTAACTAGGGGGACAGGTTTAAAGAGGTTTAACAGTCAACTTAAAATGATTCATTTAGCAGCCATTACAAGGGGATTGAAAAAAAAATGACTTAAAATTGGTCCTTGCACTTAGGACTGTCACAGCATCTCCACAGTCATGTGATCAAAACTTGGGCACTTGACAATTGGTATGTATTTGCAACAGTTGCGTAGTTCCAGAATCATGCCATCACCATTTGCGACCTTCCCAGCCATCTGTCAATAGCCAATAGGTAAAGTTGGATTTGCTTAATAACCATGTGATTCATTGAACAATTGCAGTGATTCACTGAATGACCACAGTGATTCACATAACTACCATGGCAAAAAAAGAACATAAAATTGGGCATGACTTACTTAACAACTGCCTTGCTTAGCCATGGAAATTCTGATCCCAATTGTGGTCAACTGAGAACTGCCTGTAATGGCTACCTAACACCTGAATAAGAATGAACAAGCACTAGTAGTAATGCTTTTAAACTGTTGTCTTCATAGTTTAGTATGCTCTTTGGATTTAGGATAGGTAGAAAATTATGATAAGCACACCCACAATTTGTATAAAACTTTCCCATAATTTGGTAGATTTAATGTGTCATTTTCATTAGTATCTCAGTCACGTTTGCCTTGAGTATTTTGGGGTTTTTGGTTGTGTGGAAAGGCATTTGTTACATTTTAAAAATAAATATATAAAATATAATATTGGCCATGTGGGTTTCAAATCAGTGAAAAAGGCCTTATTAGTCCCAATCAGTATTCAGTGCACACATGAATACTCACTAATTCATATTTCAGATTGGGGTTAAGAAATTAGGGGTGACTCCAAAATTTCTATAATGGAAAGAATGACTTAATGTAATTGATAGGAGCAAATCAGCTTTTATTTTAAAAGTACAGTGATCTTGTGTTATTGTTTGTTAAAAGACACATACTATTAAATAATAAATGTGGTTTGTAAGTGAATGGAATGCTATCTGAAGAGATTCTAAAGAGTGAGGCTTTTATGAAACAGATATTCTGCCCTTGGTAGATGTTGTGGGTTATATTTTTACCCTTAAACTTTCAATCTTTGTCCAGTATT